GGGAAGAGGAACAAATGTAACCTGAACAATAAAGATTTAATTTAAAAAAAGAAAAAAAAAGATATAAGAGTAATTTCCCAACTGGCACGGCTCAGTAGTTGAGCATCCACTTATGATTCAGGAGGTCACGGTTCGATTCCTGGTCAGGGCACAGGCCAGGGTTGCGGGCTCAATCCCCAGTGTGGGGCGTGCAGAAAGCAGCCAATGATTCTCTCTCATCATTGATGTTTCTGCCTCTCTCTCCCTCTCCCTTCCCCTCTGAAATCAATAAATATATATATATTTTAAAAAGATGTAAGAGTAATAAAGCTTGGTATGGCCCATAAGATGTGTTTAGTCCACGATGAGATAAAGGAGCTGGCCCCAAAGTCAGCTTTGTCAGCTTATTCAGCCGGCTTTTCTTTTTTCTTTTCTTTTTGGTGGTAGGACTTTCTCAGTGAAGGAAGCAGTGCATAGATTTACGTTCAGGAGTAGGCGCCTCACCCCACTGCGGACAGGTGGCCATGACTTTGGTCGTCACCGTCACCATTGAGACCACTTTCACTTACATTGTCCCTCTTGAGCGTCACCGCCACCATGTAGGCCTTTTGGTTATTTCCTCACTTTGTGGATAAATAAGCCAGTTCTCTGAGAGGCCAAGTGGCTTATCCGATGTCACCTAGCAAATGGAATAGCAGCTGGCCCGAGCCTCGCCTTCTGACTTCAGATCCCAGCTTCTTCCAGCGGGCGCTGCGCTTCTAACACTTCAGTGTGTCTGAGAGCACTCGGGGGTCTTGTTAAAATGCGGATCCTGACCCAGAAGCTCTAGGGAGACCCAAGAGTCTGCGTTCCTAACAAGCTCCCGGTGATGCTGATGCCGATGGTCCGAGAGCCACGCTTTGAGGATCATGGTCCCAAAGCACTCAGGGCCCATGGGGATGCCAGGCCTGAGGGCCTCAGAGCAGGACCATGACTGTGTAAGCACATGTCCACCCAGCCCCAGAGCAGATGGCATAAGGCATATGGGCCCCCCACCCTGGCCAGCATGCTTCGCGCTGTCCCAGAGAACGGAGTCTCTCCTGCCAGCCACGGTCTTACTGGGAAAACCAACATTTCTGATTCTGCCAGGATCACTGATGAAAAAATAGGAAAAATGGGGT